CCGTAGCTTGCTAGGGATATGACGTTCCTATAAATTATAGTCTTAATTTCCCTTTACTCCTCACCATTCTTGTCATTTTAGTAGGTATGGAGTTCAACCTTCGCTGTTCAGAATCTATGCCCGACTTCTCCAGAATCGGAATGATAAAGGAAGATGTTCCAAATGAGTCAAGCAGGCAGCCTCCTCCACTTCGCGGCTTCTTGAGATCTCAGATCCGAGCCCCATGTGCTTTGATCAGGGATCTCCCAATCAGGGACCAAGGAACAGCGACGGCGTTCATAGAGGCACTCGAGCTTCAACATCGGAAGCTTATGTTGGAAAAGAGGAGACTCCGGAAGAGGATTAACCGGATGCAACGCAGGCTTACTACGGTGTCAAGAGATCTTCACATCCTTGAATCTCACCCCGGAGAGTGGATTGAGCTTGGAATCTCTGACTTTGCTCGAATTCCGGACTGCATGATGCCAATCCTCGATCTCGCTGGCCAAGGAGTTGAAGTGTTCTGCTCGTCAACAAGATCTTCATAGTCCGAAGTGTACGATGAGGGACATTCCGTCTTTTAAATAACGCTCTATTTCCAATCTCTTGTATGTTCGCATAGCCGAACCTTTATTTGCTTCACTTGTTCGCACAATCGAACCTTTTTCCTTTAATAAAGAAATAAAAAAAAATTTTATTAATAGATGAACTCGTTTCCGAGCTGCCTACGTATCCATCTCGGGATCAAGCCACGCCGTAGTTCATGTACAAAAACAATGCATATAGCTTTAAACATAAAACTTCTTTAAGTTGATCACATTCCAAGGTCGCTTGACTGGATTGTCTTCTAAGTCTTTCAACCTATAAACACCGTTCCGAACCACTTCGGTAATAATGTAAGGTCCTTCCCAATTAATACCAAGTTTACCGGCACCTTCTTCTTTTTTGTTGTCAAAGACGCGCCTTAATACATAATCTCCCACGACGAACGGCCTACTTTTAACCTTAGAATTGTAATACCGGGCTGCTGCCTGCTGGTAATTCTGGATCCGAATTAGAGCTTGATCACGCCTTTCATTTATGGTATCTAGTGAATCATTAAGCATTGCTGAATTTTCTTCCTCATTTAACGGTGCTTCTGTTCGGCGAAGTCCGGGCACATTGAGTTCAGCTGGTACTACCGCCTCCATGCCATAAACCAAAGAGAATGGAGTTTCTCCTGTAGGTCGCCTAGGGGTTGTACGATAGGCCCACAGGACGGGTTGGAGTTCTTCATACTATCCTCCCTTTAGATGACTTAAGCGTTTCTTGAGATTGCTTAATATTGTCTTGTTCGCAGCTTCAGCTTGACCGTTTCCTTGCGAATATCGTGGAGTAGAATAGCTAACTTTGATTCCCCAGTCCGCACAAAAGGCATCAAACTCGTGTGAAATGAATTGTGGTCCATTATCAGTGACTATTTCGTATGGAACTCCATGTCGACATATAATGTTTTTCCAAATAAAGGTCTTCACCGCCGAATCCTTGATACCAACATACGCCTCAGCTTCAATCCATTTTGAAAAGTAGTCCGTAAGGACTAAAAGGTACTGTACACCTCGAGTTGACTTGTGCAATGGTCCAATGATGTCCATTGACCACCTCATAAACGGGTATGGGGCGGAAATGGAGGAGAATAATTCCGACGGTTGATGGATCAATGGTGCATGGAGTTGGCAGCGCTTGTATCTTTGGGCGAACTTAACACAATCTGTAATCATAGTGGGCCAATAATATCCCATTCTTTTTACTTTAAAAGCCATAGCCCTTCCTGATGAATGACTCCCACATAATCCTTCATGCACTTCGCTCATAACGATTTCGACTTCGGGCCCAAAAATGCACAATAGGTAAGGGTCACTGACACCTCGTCTATACAATGTGTCTTTTGACAGACAAAATTTCGCGCTAACGATTCTCATTTTTCTGGCTTGCCACTTATTCTTTGGGAGCTCGCCTGTCATAATGTAGTGCTTTATTGGCTCCCTCCAGTCAGCCCCCCAGTCTTTAGCCGGAATTTGGTCAACTTTGTGAAATACTCGTGGCTCTGGCTCGGGATGCTCGTTTGGTTCAAGAATATCCTCCTCGATTAACGGCTCGGTTTCTAACATTGTTTCTGGAATCACCTCTTCAGCTAAGACAACGGGTTCCTTGTTAGATGTATTCGATCCCTTTGACTTCCTTCGTTTGTTGGGTGGCGGTTCGATATCTGGTTCGCCACGGTCGCGTGCCGCTGCTCGAGACCTTGTAACGACGAGGGTTTCTTTGCTGTCTTGAATGCTTCACTCCGAAATGCATTCCACTGGAATAACTCTCTTTAACTTAGGATCTGATGTTGACGCCAATGCGGCAAGTGCATCCGCAGTTGTATTCTCTCCCCGAGGTATGCGGATTAATTCGAATTTTGAGAAATTTTTAGATAAACCCTTCACCACTTCGAAGTACGCTTCCATTCTTGAATCTTTGGCCTCATAGTCTCCATTAAATTGGTTAACTACTAATTGCGAATCGCAATAAGCCAATACTTCCTTAGCTCCAACTCCTTGTGCTAATCGAAGTCTGGTAATCAGGGCTTCGTATTCTGCCTCGTTGTTGGAGGCATTGAATAACAACCGGAATGATTGTTCTAGAATTTCTGATGTTGGAGATTCCAACTTGAATCCCACTCCGGATCCTTGCTTTGTTGAAGACCCGTCTACGTGTAATTTCCAAGTTTGGTTCTCCGGCTGTTCTACCGTTCCAGGTATTGGTAACTCGGTTAAGAATCTGCTAAACCTGAGCTTTCATATTCTCCCAGAGACTCTGACACATCGGTTA